CAAGGAACACCAGAACATTGTACCTCCACAGGTTAGGGGCCTTCAATGGGGATGAGCCTCATTACCAGGTTTCCTGCAAACTGCAGGTCTGAGACTTAGGACTGGTGGGTATCTATAGTGGGAGGAGTCCCAGCTGCTAATTTGCCTTCTGTTGGCTGTGGAGGTAGGGAGTTCAAGGCCTTCTCTGGACTTCTGCCAACAGCTGTAAATGGAAAAGTTTATTTGAACACAACTGAATCATGCTGCCACCTGTGCAAGGTAGCAGAATAATTTGTCTTTTTGTGGGGGGTTTTGGGGGGGCAAGGTGGGGGGAGGGCAGATAGAGGCATCATTTCAGTAAACTGGGATGGTTCATTCAGGAAGTCCATGATAGGACCACAACTAAGAGTTCCTATTTCCAGCCCTAGACAGACCAATAGAGTAATCTACTTCCTTAAAGCCCTGGGTCTAGGCCATGTCACAGCTACTTTATGCTGCTCCAGTGGCTTCTCCAGGCAGGAATTTGGCCAGAAAAGGGGTACTCCTCTTATGAAGCAGAGATAGTAAGATAGTCCTGCAATATCCTGAAATGAGTGTGAAAGCTTGTGGCCAGAACAGGCTTTGCATAATGGCTTACAACGGCTATGCAAGACCAAAATAATTTAGAGCAGCCCCAGAGGCTGCTCTAAGTTGAACTATGGTTTGGGGACACCCCCAAAATACAGAGGTGTCCGAAAGCATGTTGTGCTTTTCTGCTCCACAAAACTACAGAGCTCAGTGAAACTTTTATTTTGCTCCTCTAACTGTTCTGGCAGAGAAGCGCTGCAAAAAAACTCAAGCAAAGGTGTTGACATATGTCCTTATCTATCAGAGGAACTTTGTCACCTAACAGTGCATATCGCTTTTATGGTGCAAAAGAATCTATTTCCCACAAAGGAATGTCTGTAAACCCTACAAAACTGCCTTCCCCTATCTGCCTCTTTAAAAAACTTGTTTCACAATTTTTACCAGAATTCCAGCTAGCAGAGTTTACCAAGCAATAAACTGACAGAATAAAACATCCTGGTTTGTTCTAGCTGCATTTTCCCATTTTCCCTCATGACTCATAATTAATTACTGCAAGAGAAGTTTGGAGGGGGGCATCCTTAACTTACTCTGAGCCTCCCCTCGGATCTGATCTTGGTACAGTCCAAAAAGTTTTCAGGTTAAGAAGCCAGGGGACTCTCTGTTTGCAGTATTGATTTTGGAGGTCTTACGTGCTTGACGGCTCAGGAGCAGACGTGCTAATCCAGGTAAGTGCTAGCGTTAATATAAAATTGTATTTACTGCATGTTCTGCTTTGTCACCAAAAACAGCACTCTCTATATTAATAATCACTTGGACATGCACAGGAAGAAAATGCTGTGACTTAGATATACTTTAGGTGATCCTGGATTTGATATTCAACTCTGAGCTAAGCATTCACTGTAAACGATTTATTGCAAAAACAGCACTACCGGCATTTCTACAGTCTAACACTGAATGGACTCTGTTCTACAAATGTGGCTAGCGAACAGACACACACAACAGACGAGGGCCAGCGCTGGTAGACAGCCGAAACTGAAATCTCACTGTTCTGTCAATTTCACGTGCGCGATGAAATTAACCTCCTCTGAGCACCTGAAAGTGCTGTCGGTTCCCACTTTTCCTGCAGATCTCCAGTGGACATTTTGAGTCCCTCTTTTTTTTTAAAAGAGAACTCTTAAAGTGCATGTGTCTGAAATCAAGGATAAGTTTCTACAGAATAATGTAAGAGTATTAAAGCAGCCACTTGTTAACATATATAGTCACAGGCTTTAAAACTGTGACTCTGACAGCAGGAACAGGATTTTTTTTAGGATTGTGAAGACAAACTTCCCTCCTTAGTTACCCTAAGAGAATGTCTTGAAAGAACCAACAAACATGGCTTTTGGCATATTTTACACAGCTTGCTAGAGACATCTTGGCTTTCATTAATGTTAACAGCAATCTATCATTATTTAAACATAGAAAGCTATCTGTTGCCTAACCAAGAACTTAATAGTTTTAAGGACTACCTCTTGGACTCCAGGACTAATGTGAATCCAAAATACTGTTATGACTATTGGGTAAGGCACTTATATCTTAAAGGCAAACACTTCTGAAAATCCCATCTATTTGAATACCTTTAAAAACTGGCCTGTTTGCACATCATACCTCAGTTTTCCCATCCATAAAAAAGGGAATAACCATATCTTAAAAGGAGAATAACTTATCTGCTTAAAATAGAGTTTTGCATAAAATGCACAGCTCCACATTGATGGTGGTATAAAAATAGCTGCAGTTAATGCAACAGGAAGCAAAAAGGAAAATGTAAATTCTCATTGTCTTTTTTGTTTTTAATCAAAAGCAGAAAAGAACCGCTGAAAAGAAAAACTATTATTTTTGAAAGGCTTCTTAAAATTTCATTAAGCCTTCAGCTTAGATAGATGTGCATGCTTTAATTCTATGTATATATTCTCATGCAGTGTTCGTAATAGCTGAGATTCCACAAAGCTGTATGCAGGAAATGTAAAGGACATAGGTGTGCATGTTTCTTTTAGAAGGTGCTCTGTCGGAGAACAGATATAGCCCATTAACACTATGATAAATGGAAGCCTTTATTTGCCTCCACTCACCCAACAGCATTAAACCTAATGGTCTCTTCCTTCGCAATGCTGATTTAAGCAGCACCTTTTGTTTTTTTTAATATTAACTTTTGGCTGAAGCATTTAATGGAATGCTAAATCTGAAAAAGGACTCCAATGCCTGAGGTAAGACTCATGGGAAAATGTAGCTCCCTAAATCCAAAGGTGTAATCCAGGATTTCCTGGCTCATTTGTTGCTCATCTTGGAGAAATCTAAACCCCAAAGGCACATTACTATTTTGACTTCCAAATTTCCCAGTTGTACTCTCTGGGCGTAACTAGAATTACCAAGCTTGAATGAGCTGAATAGCTAAGGGCTCCTATACACATGCGGGGAGCTTGCTCCAATGCACTAGAAATCCAGCGTGTCAGAGCAGACTCGATGAATTGAGTCTGCTGAAGCATGGAAATTGATGTGCTTCAGCAGCCTCACACATCATGTGTATCAGTGTCACTGCATGTCTCCGCACTGACAAAATGGCAGTGGGGTACTTTGAAATAAAACCTGTCTATGAGCTTTAGTTCAGAGCACCCCACTGCCATTTTTTCAGCATGGGAATGTGTGCTAAGGCTGCTGCACATGATGCGCGGGTGCTTTTTATTGATGCAACTTGCTAATTAAAGTACCCGGCGCCATATCCAGCAACGCATGTAAAAATGCACTTAGTGTTTGATTCACACCTAAAGCCAGTTGGGATCCAAAACCTAGGTATTCCTTTGTCATAAGTTTCCTGGGAGCTTGATTCAACAGGTGTTCTCAGAGCATGTAAGATGTACTTACCATTGCAGTCTCTTCATAAAAAAGGTTGGCTGCCACTGAGTTTTTCTTGTCATCCTTTTTGTATAGTAGCTTCTTTGTCAAGCCACTTGCCCAGGAATTAGGGAAGGCCTAATTTAACAGGAACCTGGTTCTGCTCCCTGTTCCCAGGACTCCTGATGTATCTTATTAAATGACTGTCTTATGAAAACCCTTAGGCTAAGTGCAGGCTGTTAAAAAGCCTGAGGCTGAATCAATTCAATCTTTGCAGGTTAGCCTAAACTGCATAGACTGAACTGATAAGCAAGTGAACAGACATTCACTTTTATTTCTGGAAATGCCGCCACATGCCTGCAGTGGCTCAGGCCAGAAGCTGGGGGGGGGGACACTAAAGCATGCCTCCCAGCTTGCCAGTCACTGCCAGAAGGAAGCTGAGAGGGAAGCCCTCAGAGGCTTCACCTGCCCCTTGCTCGAGCAGAGATGGGGGTGTGCCCAGGCCTCAGCCAAGTCTGGCCATCTGAGTCCCCCGTCCCCATCCACCCCTGGCCACCACTGTCATGATACTAAGTTAGCTGGACCAGGACCTGTGCATGCTGCCTGTTGCAGTAGAGGGAGCCTCTGAGAGCTTCCCCCCACACCTCAGCCAAACAGAACCCGGGTTAGCGGGGAGAGAGGGGTAAAGGAAGTTAACATACTCAGTCAGGCTGCCCAGCCTGAGCCTGGGCCTGGCCACACCCCCCCAAGCAAGAATGGAGGGAAAGTCTCCAAGGGCTTCCCTCCTTTCCTTCCTGGGGTCCAGTGCTAGGGTTTTGCCCCCCACCCCCTTTTTTTATCAGCTGGAGCAGTGATATTGCTCTGGATTGGGAGCAGAGGCATGGGGCACACACTGCTATGCTGGAGCAGACAGCCCAGCCCAGGGCTGCAAGGCATCCTGGGATGCTGGGGGACTGTAAGTTAACTTGAATCGAGGTGGGGGGATCTGGGACAGACATTCCACAAACTGGTTTGACCTAAATCAGTTAAGTCTGATACTACATCCATCCAGGTTTATCTTAAACTGGTTTTGGCCATTTTGAGAGTGGTTTATGTGCATTGAACTTCATCGTGTTACAGATTTAAACTGGTTTTTGATCACTTAAGCTGGTTTATGTGTAACTTCTGCCCCTAGCCTTAGACTTCCCAGTGAGTAATTCGCTCTCTTTGCACATGGAAAAAAGTGGCTGTCAGATCATTTCTAGGCAGCTGTGTGATGATAAACTTTCATACAAAGGACAATTGAAAAGAAAGAGATCAGTGCATCTAAGAATATTTCTTTCTGGTATTTTTTTTTAGGACTTGGAGCGGTTGGGCTCTACAAAAGACTTGGAGTTTGATAATTCTGTGTGGGAGTGAACTTGCTAAATTTTTTCCTGTAAAAGACTTTTTTCTTCCCTAATTGTCAGCCCAGCGACTCACTCTAGGCTCACAGTTTAGCTGGACTCTTTCCATCTGTGTGTAATCACTAGGAAGAGCAGGCATTAACTACACCTGTGAAACTCCTACTCATGCCCTCAGACTTGAGTAATGCATTAGCATGCAGTGAGATAATAGCTACTGGAGCAGTGTAAAGTCATTTTAAGGGGCTTGAAATGTAATACAGTACCTTTTCACTTAAATGGACCCCAGAGTGGTTTGCAAGCTTAGCTTGTGACTTCTTAAAGAGTATCTCCCTATACATAGAAAGGGGTGGGAGTTAGAATGCCTCCCTTTCACTCAAGAGATGATTGATGAGCATGTGTCTAATACCCAATCCAGACTAACAAGTAAAAGGGGCCAAGCCTTGGTTTTTCTACCACTGATTACTCCATACCCACAGGGTCCAGTTCTTTCTTATTAGAGTTCCTGTGCGTCAAATGTGTCTCTTAAAAGGTAAGCTTGGTCCACAATATTTTGATTCTCTCTGAGCTGTTAAGCTAAGCCTGTTCTTTGTGTTGTGAACCTTCCCTCTAGCTTCCAGGCAACATGTTGGTGGGGACGCATTGACCATTTGTTTCTTCCAAGTTCAAAAAAGAAAAGGACTGGTTTGCACACTGGCACTATCTGCTACCACTGCAGAGCAGATGGGTGTTAGAGCCCAGGGCTGGATTAATGCATAGCCAAACTAGGCACATGCCTAGGGCCATGAGCTGCAGGGGGAGTGGCCCCCTTCCCTCTGTGGCAGGGGTGCAAATGGCCCTGTCCACCTCCCTTCCCTTCCCCTCCACCGGCCTTGCTACCACAGTCGCTGCTTCCTAACAGTAGCTCCGAGCCCAGCTCCCCACAGGCAGCAGCGCCGGGGTGCAGAGGTGGGTCTTGACCAGCCCGGGGCTCACAAGCTTGTTTGTGCAGGGCCCACTAAAGTGTCAGTCCAGCCCTGCTTGAGCCCAAGTCCTTTAGTGAAGCTTTCTCTTGCAACCTGCTAGTTATGCATGCCAATACTGAAGGGCATTGGGGACAATCTGAGCAGTTTCCTGTGGTAATAGCCACCTCTGTCTGGTTCGCTTTGGCTTTGTACTGCATCTCTGTGCCTGTTCAATGCCATCCCCTTGCCTGGCCCAAATTACACTGATTCTTTGGAAAGTAAAAGGCAGGATATAGAAGGTAGGTTGTGCTTTTTCCTTTTCCCTTTGCAGACATGTAGCAATAGGGGCGGTGAAATTCTGCAGCTAAAAATGTTTGGCACCCAGAGTGTATTAGGGTAGATAAGTTATTGTTTGTGTCTGGTTTCTAAAAGATTCGTCCAGTCAAACTCCCCTAGTTTAAACACGTGCTGAACAAATACCAGATTCCTTGAGGTTTTCAGAAGGTCTAGCATGTGTTTTGAATGGAAAATTCAAATTCAAAATTCTTATTGTGGAACAAGAGGAGGACTAACTCACTGTGTCCATTTAGTTACCCACAGAGCACAGGCTGCAATTTATGTATCATCCAAGATGAAAGTGTTCTCCTTTCCAGAAACGTCCGGGGCAACGTGAACATTTCACAATGGCTTTGAATTTACCCAACTTTTACTACTGATCCAGACCATTGTCAAAAGTCTTAAATCTCTGACCAAACAAAAAAAGATAAGTGGTAACATTCGCCTGTATGCTCCTTATTTTAGTAATCTTGCAGGGACACTAGTCAGAATATATAGTGACGTCAGGCTTCTGGCTGCAGTGCTACTTTTCTGGACTGGGGGCCTAACAGGTCGCTGTGGAAGGAGTTCTTCGCGTGCGAGCTGTTCATTACAACACAGAAAGCTGTGGTTTTTACATTACAGGTCTTTTGCTCACAGCATTGTAGGAAGTGATCAAGCAGGTGTTCTGATCAGCAGG